ACCGTAACTCATAAAAAAGAAATCGATAATTACGCCTTATTAAAGCAAGTTTCTCTCTTAAATGAAACTATCTCTCTTTATCATAGCTTAAATGCGATGAGAGACGACATTTTTTTATTAATAGAACACCGGGTAAAGTGGCAGGAGGCTCACCTGATGGTAAATGATACCGCCGCCCAAGGACACTCTCAATGGAAAAGAGCTCGCGAGTGCGTTGCCGGCCTTTTAAGAATTAGTACGCTCTTTTCTTGAAGGACACTTAAGTCGAATTGATTCGGAAATACTTAAGTGGGCAGCATATACATAGTGGTTGTGCGCGGCATAAACTGCCTTAAAAAACGCTCACTTGTGGAACGACGGACGTCGAAAATAATACTTTTTTTTAATTAGAATCTATTCCAAGTTACAAAGTTTGTACACTTACGAACGACAGCAAGTTTCAAGTCCGTTATTTTACTTTTACTGCCAGTTTTCAAATCCAAGGCCGAGAACTGATTCTGTACCTTATTCTTATTTAGTATAACATTTAAGCTGTGATAAAAAGTTTTATATACAACAGAAAAATAACACTGTACACAAACAACTTGGACATTTTTACTTTATTTACAGAGGTAACTAAAGAACTATCCTCATCATCTGACTTCGTGACTCTTAATCAATCTTCAAATATAATCTTGTAGCTTCTAATTAGCGCTCCTCTTCTGACTTAATAGGTAAATTGAAAAATAAGATTAAAAAAAATAATTTCAAGGTTGGCTAAGTTTAAAAAGTACACGTCGTCGATTTTAGGGTCCAAGTGTCTCAAAAACGTAGTTATTTTTAACACGAGGTCATAGATCACGCTATGTCTCGACTTCAAGTCTTTACCTAAGGCATATCGTTTTATTCACCTTGTTGACTATAAAATATACCGTACTTGCAAATGTTATTTGCTTACTTAGGACCAAGAAATACCTCCGGAGCCAAAGTTTCAACGCGACGGATTAAATTTCGTCTGAAATAATGTTTGTAAACGTTTGTTGGCCACTCTTATAAATGCAATGAATACGTCTAAATTTTAATGAGCGATCGTCAAATGTTTTAAATAAAGGGTCCTCTATACTCCAGGATTCCACGGTCATTCGTCTTATTTACATTATTTTGTTTGCTTAAATGATTATGGCTTTACTAAGTAAATAGCATGACAAAATGTAAACATATCGTGATCATGATAACATGTCTTCGATATAATTGATATTATACATTTTCACTATGTAACAATTAATGTCTAGCCACACTCAGAGTCAATTAAATTGTCTAATGGTAGATTCAGTACAGGAGTCAGACTAGGTCTAAATCTTACCCTGATATTCATGTGTATAGATAATTCTACAAGCTACGAAATTTAATGCCCGATTTATAAACGGCTGATGAAATGGATTCACTTAGATATACATATACTATATCTAAGATATATATATATATATATATATCTAAGTATATATATATATAAAGATTTCGAAACATCTGGTAAATACTGCAAAACAGATTGATTTTAAGTGCTAAATATTAATTCCATATTTTGCGTTTCTTTGACTTAACGCTGAAAAATAAATATGTTCTTTCAATTATTTGATGTTTTGTTTCTTACCCAACTTTAGTTTATATAATTTTATAGCTTCTAGTATCCTTAGTAGAACGGCCTCTACACGGAACCATAAACTGGAGTAGGTATTCCATATATAATTTATATACTGAAATAACCTTTTAGTCCTATGTGTAACTGTTATTTCTTTGATATCTATATTCGTATTATAGATCAACTAGCGACCCGCTTCGGCTTCGCACGGATGCAATGCTGATACTAAATTTAAAGTGCTAAAGGAAGAACCGTGGGTTCCGACGCGCTATTTATAGGCACGCTGCGTCCCGCAATTTTTAAATCTGTAATATCTTCGAAAATATTCATTTAAATAATATGCTGTAAAGGGCCATATATATCTATATTAAATCAACAATGTATTTAAGGTATTTAAATGGATAAGGATTAATGCTGTATTGGTTTAAATCGCTTCGAAAATTAGCCATTATTTGTCGTAAAAAGTAAATGACAAAAAAATGTTATTGTGGGATATCCATAAGAGATAGACATATACCATCGCGGAGTTTTCTGTAGACCTTTTCAATGTGTACAATACTTAGTACATGATTTTGATACATCTCGTAGGGTTTCGACTGCGTTTGCAATGGAAGCGGAAAAATTTAATTATTTACGACATCACATTAGAAACCTCAAAAATAACAGTATTTCTCCACTATTTAATGGATGTTATTATACATATAAACCTTCCTCTTCAATATCTCTATCTATTTAAAAAAACCGCATCAAAATCCGTTGCGTAGATTTGAAGATTTAAGCATACATAGGGATATAGGGACAGAAAAAGCGACTCTGTTTTATACTATGTAGTGATGAAACACACCACCGAAGTGGATGTGAGGAAATATTTGGAGACGCGGGAAGACTGACTTTGTTGAGCGGTAACAATTTAGTTTTCTTTTATTTATTTTTTATTGTTGTCTATTAATGTACTTACTTATGTTTTCTGTTTCATATACATATATTGTTTTTTTGGGCAGCTGGTTCCACATAGTGCTGGTGTGCGTTTATCAATTTAAACTGTTTTGGCTTTGTATATGTGTTTTGTTTTATAATATGTATGTTAGCAGTAAGCTTACTAATAAATTAAATAAATAGTATAACATGTATGATGTGCAGAAAGGCATACAGTTCCTCCAATCTGATCAGAGATCCTTGTCCAAAGATCCCAGTGGCTAATGTTAATTGTAGCCGCAAATAACCGCAAATTAAGATATCATTGCAATGATTATAATTTCATATTATCGGTGTCGTTACCTACATTTACATCTATAAAGGTGCGCTTACACGGGCAACGAAAATTGCTCATTTCCAGTCAATACTCGTCAACTATGACGTTACGACTACATCAAGCAATTTACGGCAACGGTGTTGCCGTTGCCGTAAATGTGCATCAAGCATCAATACTGCGCAATACAATATTGAGCGATATGGCGCAACTTCATCAACTAGGCAATACTGTCCTACACGAGCATTTCAATATTCGCTGGCTATGGACGACATTGTTCTTGCTGTGGCGGCTTGTAGCGCTTTTTTTATGATTAATCAAAAACAAAAAAGAATGCGATAGTTTTTGGCAGAGGCCGCAATTTTCATTGTGTTAAGAATTAGATGATATATTATTTAAAAAACTTAACTAGAATGTCACGAACAGACTTTGAATTACTTTTCAATAAAGTAATTAGAAATTATTATTATTTAGACCTATCGCTCTCCCCGCGGAAGCAAGACGGCAAGGCACAAAACAAACAAGTGCGAATGAGATATATACAAAAATTGCTAGGAATTTCAAAGTCCATTGCATATTCGTCAATTCGTATCTGCGACACTGAGCGATATGAAATATCTGGAGCAATTAGAAGCAATATCGCCGAAATAATTTATTGAATTTATTAAAATTGCTCCAGATCGGTCCATTCGTGTCGCCGAGCAATTATTGCCCTCGTGTATGCGCACCTTAAAGAATATAGGTACCGAATAGACTAGATGCAGTGTCGTTGTATACGATATAGCTACAGATTTCTTTCTTTCATAGATAAGATCAAGGCGATTGAAATTAAGTAAAAAGTTTAATATTGATATTATTTAAAGAAAAAAAAAAAACCACGCACGCTGTAAAGCACGCGAAACGTCGGATAAATTTAAAATAATGTTAAATAATTGTAAATTTATAATAATACATAACTTTAATCCGGTTAAAAAGTTTTTTCTTTAAATGTGTAAAGGTTATGTTAATCAAAGACAATACTGTTGATATTATTAATTTTTATTTCGATTTAATTTAATATTTATTTTAATCCAGCTCATAAGGAAGATGCATTACTTTGATTTTTTGTTTGTAATTTATCAATTTTTAGCGTATTTATTGCTTGGTGTATTTCAAAAGGCATCCAAAATTCATCTTTTTTTCAAATTAGTATCTTTAGTCATCTCAACATGTCAAAACAGGAATGACAAACTCAAGATGGACTTGAGATTTCTGAATGGGTTCGTAATAAATAAAACAACGCAAAACAAATACTTATTTATTGTCCTCACAAAACTTTACAATAATAATGATAGAAGAAATCAAAATGCAAATTGTTTATACACATTTTAATATAAAATGTGTTCATCACAGAATATTTCATAAATAAACTTCAGGTACCTTAGGAAGACTTAACAATTCATAACATTTCAAATTTTTTTAACACTTTTCATAGATAACACATGAAATGGAATTTATATTGTCTTTATCTATTTTTTTTGTGTGCGAAATACCCTTCCCCGGATTAAAACTAGTTTTATCATTACAATTGTGAATTTAAAATTATAAATCCGTTTTTCCACCATACCAGTCTAAAAAAATTCTCAGAAATGTTATAACATCACCAACTGTAATAATTAAACGCATTTCAATTAAATTATACATACAAAATATATGGGATTTTCTGTTCGTAGAATTGTTTTACAATCCTATTATGATTATTATTTTATACATAGAAGAGTGTATATGACAAGTATTTTACTAGCCGCTTACATGAAAAGATAATTTAGTATACCTAGCCTCAGAAAAATAAGAACACTATATTGTAAAGAATTTATGAAAACAAAAATAAACTTCAAAAAAATAATACTATCACCTTAAAGATCTCCATAACATTTCGAGTATTTAATTCGAAGTTTTTGCTAAAAAATGCGGGTAGCTGCCAATTCATATTTTATACCCTCGTTAACAAAATTTTCAAAATTTTTGATTTTTTTTTCAAATTCCAAAATTGCATACGTCTATTAACTATTCTATAATTGAAATCTTATAGAATAGCTATCAAACTAGATTTAGGCAGTCGTAAATCTCTTAACACAACGTTCAAATGCGAATTTACACCTTGACGTCCATGTTGTACTTCTTTTCGTCACCGTTCCTAAAATAAAAAAAAAAACATCAATTTTGTATCACCAGCACTAGACCAGCAAAGTTACTCCATAATGCGTGATTATGGTTTCAAATTCATTCATTTACACAATACGCATATGTTAAGGCAAATTGTGTAGAAATAATCAAATATTAGTCTAATACGATATTAGGTAATACATACATATCTTACAAAAATCTAAAACTTACTGAACCATAAACTAACTATACTCTACCGTACATACCAAAAGTTAACCAAAAATGCTTCATCTCCACTGTAGTAACGATTGTCCATCAAATAAGTCAATTCATCTTCAATTTTCACGTTAATATAATCACTGTGCTCTCTGAAAAATCCCTGAATTTTTAAACTCTTTTGACCCCAAATCATGCAAATCCCAATCCTGAGAACTGCGTTTGTCTCGTCTTTGCAGTAAACCTGGCATTTCAAAAGCATGATGAGATGTTCCTTTCGGTTTCTGATGTCTTTGTTGATCCCCTAAAGCTGTTTTGATTCGCTAGGGTAGGGTTGCCAACTTAATGTTAAGGTTAAATATTCTTAATATCGCATAGATCGCACTAAAACCGCCGCAAACCCTATGTGTTTTAGGTTTGAAATGATCGTGGAATAATTCTAGCACGTTCTATTCCGTATAACTAAATTAATAAGTAGTTGGCAACCCTAATGCAGTTTTAAGCGGTTTACAAGTGTTTTATTGCGACGGATATAAGCGGATGACTGGAAAGACCTCAACTGAATATGTTTGTGGTCGATGACTTTTAAAGTTCCACCTTAGTCGGGACTCGGTCGTTACGGGACGTAGTAAGCGATTTTGCAAGAGATTTATGTCAATTACTGCAAGTTGATTACGCACGTAGATGCGTTTTGTGTTTTTAAGTGTGACGGTTTTTAAAGTGTACAAAAATTACAAAAAACATATCTTCATCACGTGATATATTTGTAAATTTTGTTTAATGGAGAATATAAACGTCGATTAACTGTCGAGAAATTTTTTATCCTGGAATTTTCTCCTGTTGGGGTTAGAAGTCCTCTAATATTCCTTCCTGATTTTTCTTGACAAATATTTTTCCTTATTTCATATTCCTTGACTTGCTTTGATATCGAATACTTCTTCAGTTTCAATTACTTATAATAACTTATCTATTTAACTTACTTTAAAACCACATCCCAAGTAAAACACCACAAAAACGCGCAATTAGTAGAAGATAGAACTTTCGCGGAATAATGAAAATAAATGTTCGCTGAAGTTTAAAGCGAAAGTAAGATGTTAATGAAGAATACGTTAAAAGACAATGATTAGACCCACAAGTAGATATTATTGATTACTTGAACGTTTAAATTGGTGTATGACGCTTTCTACGAACACTATGAAGAATTGTGATGACGGTTCAAGTAATCAATGTCAAGATATGAAACCCAATTTAAAATTATATCAATCAAAGTTAAAATACCCAAATCTTATTACTATTTATAACTATTAAAAAAAAACTAAAAAAAAATTCACTTTAAAAAGGACAGAAAATCTCAAAAACTGAACTGATTTTAATGAAACTTGAACGGAATTTTTGGATAAACATACACTTACGAAATTTTGTACGCAGGCTTATTAATCCTAGTTAAATGTTATCCAACTCCAAAATTATACATAAATACGGGATAAAGTTATAAAAATTGTATATCACCGGGTTAAATAAGTTTATGTCATAGAGTTAATCTTAACTTTAATTGATATTTGTTAACCTCAGACCGCTGACTAAACTAATTCCAATAAGCCTTAAATAATAAAATTATTCCCGGTTTCTATACCTAACCAGTCAATACGAGTCGTTGAGGCCTTTCCGAAATTTGTACAAATTTCTACCACTCGTTTTTAACTGTATAAAGCTATAAACATCGTATCGATAAATACCAAACTAAATCCCTCTTAAGAAATAACATTGAAGAAAATTGTCTTAATTTTTTAAAACTTGAAAATCGGTTTTATCAAAATTAGTTTAGCCGTTTCGGCGACTATAGCGGTCACGCCCCCAAGATCCATTAATTGAAAAATAATAAATACCTGTAAAACACATAGTGCTGCAATATGAAGAATATGTCGAAGACCAAACTGAATAGGCCGAGGCCGAACTTAGTCGCGTCGCCGAAGAACGAAACCCAATCGTTGTAATTGTACGCGTTCAATGTCATTTGAAGAATTGAAAGGAACCCTCCGACGAAGTCCAAAAAGATATTCCCAATACTCCAGCCCACTGTGGATTTACGCTTGTAGTTCATGTATGCCTGGAATCATTGGTTTATTTATTATATCAGGGTCCATACTTAAAGCATGTGCTACACGGTATGAAACGGCAGTTTGAAACGAAATAAAAGCGAGTTGCGCTTTTCGGCTACACGGTTTAAAACCAACAGTGTCCAAAATAACGTTGCGCTGATAAGACGTCTCCGTAGGGATGTGACATTCTGCATAAAAAAATCGATTTTTTATTAATCGATAATTTTTTTAGCATGAAAAATCGATTAATAAATAATCTATTTCTTCAGTAGCACATTGCAGTATTTTTGTTGTATTTTTAATTGTATGTAGTCTTGTGCTGCTGAATAAATTTATTTTACTTTTAAGTTATAGTTTTATCATCCTTTCGATGTTTTACAAAAAAACAATACATCTTCAAAGAATCAGATTCAATGTATCGCATTGTAAACATCGTTGTATATCGAATATCCCTAATAGTTCAAGGTCCGGGTTATAAAATACCAGACATAATGTCGGTAGGTGGCAGATAAAAAATCGACTATGATTGATTTTCAATTATAAAAATAATCGATTATTTTAAATATAAAAATCGCGTAAAAAAATCAATTTTAATCGATTTTTTTTTCCAAAATCCCAAAGACATGGCAATTCTCTGTATAATTCGAGCAATTCGGTAATAACTTCACGTTCGTGCGTCTACGCTCGCCGCCGCAGCACGACTGCCGAACGCGTGGTTTTAAACAAGCGGCTAGACTGTTTCAAACCAACGGTTTTGGTCGCGGTTTGCAACGCAAAGCGTGCTGCCAAGGTCATATCAAGGTTAAACGAAATTTGGCATAAAACAACTATCCACACCGCCGTTTCATACCGTGTAGCGCATGCTTGAAGGTTGCATTTTCACTGTTTTTTTTATTTTATTTATATTACATTTCACTACCTTCTTAGAGCTTTTAAAAATCTATAAAAACAAGTATTATTAATGAATATTTGAGTGAAACATTACAATTAATAATATCGTTACGTAATAATATATTAATAACGTGATGATATAATAATTGACAATGATGATATGGTATTGTGTTGTTAACATTACTTTTAAACATTTAAAGAAAACACTTTTTACGGATTGAAGTTATGTATTATTATAAACTTTTTCTTTTAGTCGATACCAACTCCGGGGAAATAAATACAAATAATACAACTTTTTCTACAGCTGTGATACTTTTTGACATTCAACACTTTTTGTCTTCAGTCACCGTGACCACGCACGCTGTAAAGCACGCGAACGTCGGTTTTTTTTTTAATTATATAAAATAATTATAAGTTTATAATAATACATAACTTCAATCCGGTAAAAAAGTGTTTTCTTAAAATGATGATATGATTGATAATGTAATATGTAATCTAAAATTCAACCTTTTATTATATTATTATTTTATAAATCAATGATGCCATTTAATAATAATTAATTTAAAAGGATCTGCAAGTGTAAAGCGTGAACACTGCCTTATTAAGCAGCACTATGCGTTTGAACCCTGACCGTGAACGAATGGACCTTACTATATATAGCCCAATACTTGCTACAATGGTAAAGGAACCATCGTGAAGAAACCGGCTTGGTGTACACCCAGTGATACAGAAGCCTGATCACCTTCTTAACACAAATGCAGAAGCCACTAAACACCAAAGGTCCGCCACTTAAGTATCGTAACAAAGGTATACATAGTCCATGTTGTTTAATCAATTTACATATAAAACAAAATATGAAATTGTTAAAATAAAACACGTTTTTATACAATAAAGAAAAAATCAGTGGCGCTACAACCTCTTTAGGTCTTGGCCTCAGATTTCTGAATCTGTTTCACGATCATTTGTCAATCTAATAGGCAAGTAGGTGATCAGCCTCCTGTGTCTGACACACGCCGTCGACTTTTTGGGTCTAAGACATGTCCTCACGATGTTTTCCTTTACCGTTCGAGCAAATGTTAAATGCGCACATAGAAAGAAAGTCCATTGGCGCACGGCCGGGGATCGAACCTACGACTTTAGGGATGAGAGTCGCACGTTAAAGCCACTAGGCCAACACTGCTAACACAATAACATTTCTTTAAATGCTTAAAGATGTCGAATTAAAGATCGATTTCTCCCAGTTACAATATTTTCCTATCCTTTCGATAAATAAATGTATAAACATTGATTAGTTGCTAGAACTCTCTTAATTGAAACTTATATCTTCCTAATGATAATAAAATAATTACCTGCGGTATATATTTGATGAGAGTAATACTCAGTTTAATATAACTGCAGTAGTACAAAAAGTCGAGCCACTCCAAGATACTGGCGCCAGCAAGACCCGCCGTTACTATGACCACGCCCCCAAACACTGTCAATATGCCACGCCCTGTCATCGATACACGTTGGTCTTCGCGCTGAAATTTACAATTTAATCATTTTTATTGTGTCTTTACAAAACATTTCCTCGCCTTTTTATTAAAAAATATATATATTGAAAAAGAGCCTTCAGCCCTGCGATTCTGTAACTCACTTTTCGAACACTCACTCATAAGGTGGGAGCTTGTAGTTTATTGTTTATCAGAATGCCAAATCATAAAATGACTGCTTCACGACTGATTTGAGAGCGACCGCCGATGCGAAAACCGCTGTGTGAGTTCGAAAAGTGAGTTACAGAATCGCAAGGCAGAGCTCTTTCAAGAACGAGTAGTAGTTCGATTTACATAAAAGTATAAACAATTTTAATTGAGACATTGACGTCAATTTTTTTTTTTTGGTCAAGGTCCTGTCGGCCTTAAAGATTCTTAGATACGTGGATGTCCTTGGCTGCCTTTTTGAGCGTCCCGTATGCTCATCTAGTATATAAAATTCTCGTGACACAATGTTCGTTTCCATACTCCTCCGAAACGACTCGACCGATTCTTATGAATATTTTCATGCATATTCAGTAAGTCTGAGAATTGGTTACTATCTATCTTTCAAACCCCTATATAGCATGCAGCATACGAAAATACATACAACCCCTAATTTTCACTTGTATATTAATTATGACTTGAACTCTGAGGTTTATATACGAACTATATGAACAAAAAACCGAACAGTCTCTGAGGTAGCGCAGCAAAATGTTCCACGATGGTATGTACTAAAAAGGTAAGCTAAGTAAAATCACTTTAAGGAGAAACGAAATGCGCGGGGGCAGCTAGTTTCCTATAGAAAAAAAGGTCTATTTTACAATGACTTACCTCATATATAGCGCACTGTATAATAGTAATGATAGTGGCAAATACAGCGTGTAGCGAAAAGAAGACATCATTCAATTGTACAGGATTTAAACCGCGGGGATGACGACTGAAGTATTCCGCCTGGAATTCAATAAAACCTAATAAATATATTTTATATATATTAAATTATATAATAATTTTATTAATTTTCACATTTAAACGTTATTAATATATACAAGCATGAATGATGAACAAAATAAAATATTATGTAAATAGTTACACACACTCTCATAAACGTACACACATTCATACGTACGTACACGTCCCAGATACACCAATATTTATTACATTTTCCAAGATTGGCCGTGCATGGATTTTATTCTGATTCGTTTAGATCTATATTTTTATCTGAATAAATAAAATATTTAAAAAAATTTAGAATCCGGTGAAACAATATTGTAGCCGTTCAAAACCGATTTTTCTCAGGAGATTAGATTCTCTTAGATTCTCCGGACTTAACATGAAATAAATGGTAAAAAATGCAAAACATCATTCTATCCTCTAAATTATAAAAAAAATACCTGAATTTCCTTTGAAAAGAACAGTCCACAGTTGAAAAGCGAATACATAGTGAATCCCATCACATTTAACGCCAAGAAATCGAAATTGAGTCCGACCACACTCTTCCTTTTGAAATTTATGTATATTTGAGGGTAGAACGACACGGACCACGCCACGAAGTATATCCATCCCATTATATAGGAAATCACGTAAATCGCGTTCGAATGCATCACTGTTATTCTCATGAATAGTGAATCCAAACTGAAAAATCATAATTAAACATAAACGCGTAAAGACAGAAAAGTAAGACATTAAAGAAATATTATAAAAGCAATTGCATAGCATTTATTATCAACTTATGCATTTCATATGGTAGAGTTACCAGACTTAGACAAACACGTCTATATAGTCTGTCTCACTCTAACACGTACCGGCTGCACCGGCCGCGCTTACGGTACGTCACTAATCTCTTCAGAGAGATGTGAATACGCAGTATGCGTTGTATCCCACTCTAACGCGTATTGGCCGCACCTTTATTACGTCATCATGTGTCACGTTTTAATTTTCGTTACGGAATTTCTTGATTCGGTCATCGCACTCAAAGCCCGCGATAAAATCTATGCAATAGCTTTAAAAATTTAAGTAAGGTCACACAATGTTGATTTGTTCAATCCTACCCTGAACTTCCAAATATTTCAAGATCATACTTTTGCTAAATCGGTCCAGCCATTCTCGAGTTTTAGCGAGACAAACTAACAACAATAAATTACAATTTAACCACGTTATAATTACAATTAAAACTTACTTAACCACATCAGTAGGCAACGCCGAGAATGTAACCTCTGAATGGCCAGGACTCCTTCCATACGCACATATATCGTAAGCCAATTCCGCTGTTGTATTCGGCTGTTCCACTGCCGGAATATTAATCGTCGAAGGCACAAATTGTACTATATCTGGGTGTTGTATTTGGGCTGTCACTGAGAGGGTCTCATTGTATTCACCGCTGAAAATTTAAAGAAATGTTTCAAGGGATGGTTTTATCTATGTACAAGATTCCTTTTAATCATAAAAAAGTGCGTGCGTACAAAGTACACATGTCAGAAGTGAAACTTCTTTGGCGAACTAATTTTAACTCTTGTTCATTTATACAAATCTAAAACTTTAGAATTTAATGAATTTAATTGACATTAAAATTTTAAAAGTATAGAAAATTTATACAAAATTAATAAATTTAATTTCTTAAATTTATTTCTTTGATAATAAAAACACGTGGCATTTAAATTTACAATTCGTCATTTGAGATTTCAATAAAATATTTCGCATAAAATATAAAATACTAATATTTCATAAATTCTCTTTGCGAAATTTTAAAAATAGAATTTCTATAAGGTAATTCACCCTTCTCACTCTCTCTGAATCACTCTCTCCCTTTTCTTCGACAAAAACGCTGCACATCTTCGTGACGTTCCGTAAAAATTTTACCCTCATGCTCCTAAAGAAGTTTCACTTCAAAAAATAAAACAAAGAAGGTAAATAGGCGGTCGTACTCCTAAGTTAGTAAGAACAGTTTCTTCCAGACATCAACAAAGGTGTATTATTTTTTATATGTGAACTCTGAAGTACTACTAGACTAAACATATGTGTACCTCGTTTTCCACTTATAGATAACGTCTGATATTCAAGACGAAAACCACAATTGGATCGAAACCATGACCTAGTTTAATGTGGTTCAAAAACTTCCATTGATATTATTAACTTAACTTATTATAAAACTAATTTAAACAAACGAATCAGTGGAAGTATCATACACAATTAACATTTCAAATATCGTTTCTATACAACTGCGTTACATCGGCTGTGTCGTGGCATAGAACGCTGAATCTATATTTTGCTATATTATAAATAAAGCATCGTAGGAAAAGGCTCACAAAGTTTAGAAAAATTAAATGGACTATAAAATTATGCGTAAATTATCTTCAAAACTAAGCTACTTTATGTGCGTACCTGATATAATTTTTGCACTAATTTGCATTGCGTTAAAAAACCCGACGTAATAAAAGCACATACTATATATTGGAAACAATAGGTACATTTATATTTCTGTTTTCAATTTTATATAGCAATTTCAAAAAATATCGTTGAAAGATGACAATGTGTTTGACATTATACTTTGTTAATCTTTCCATCGTCCTTCGCAATAGATATTTTTTATTTTGAAAAAAAAAACAATCTTGTTACAGGTGAATCAACAAGAACTCTAATCGTATAAAAATAAAAAAAACAAACTAAATATTTACAAAATTAAAAAAAAATACTAATATTATAGACACAAACTAATAGAAATAGAATCAGTTCAATCAACGGACAATAAAAAACTTTTTTTTGCCCAGGGGGCAAACCGGCAGGTGGCTCACCTGATGTTAAGTGATACCGCCGCCCATGGACACTCTCAATGCCAGAAGGCTCGCGAATGCGTTGCCGGCCTATTAATAATTGGTACGCATGTAATTCGTGGAGTAGTACATCGAATATGTGCCCTTTTTAGAGGGATAGTCCTTGTACCTCATTTTTTGAAATATAGAAATTCTCCTCATTCAAAAAAAAAACAATTTAATTGCACCATTTTAAGTACAGTACTTATTATAGAGTCCACGCAATTTGACAGACTAATAAGTTATTTAGTTAAAAGACGCCAATTAACCTGATTTATATTTTATGAATAGCACCTGTACTTTAGCAAGAATTTGTTTTCGTTAATTGTAGATTGTCTCTTATTGTTATTCTTACTCTTAGGGTGCGTACAGACTATGTAACATATTATATAACTTGTGTTTTATAACACGTCCACATTATGTAACCTTGTTATTCAACATTATAACATAAAACAATACTGTACACATTAGAATAACAATGCAATATAACAATGTTATATAACCATTTTAAATAACAAAAGAAAAACAAAAAAACGTAGATGCTGGGTTCGTCCTAGCATACATATCAATAACATGTTATTATAACATGTTTTATAACATTCAGTGTCCACATTATCTGAAACATGTTGTATAGCAATGTTGTATAACATGTTATGTTATATAGTCTGTACGCACCGTTAGAGTATGAAGTTCAAATGGAAGTGGACTGGGCAAGTTATAAAAGGTAGTATGGTACCTAATCTAGAAAAATGGTGACAACGTTACGGAAAGCGTAAAGAGGAGGAACATATGTGCGATGGTAGGACATCACAAACATCGCAATGAAAGCGAATTGAGAAGAGTGCCTTTGCCACTTTGCAAGTGGATAAGGAGTCACCAGTTCCTAATGTTAATTTTAGATTACAATAAACATTTAATAGTTTATACCTATTTTATATGGCTCATGATGCGGGTTCCATAATATCTCAATCTGAATGTACCACTTTCTATGCAAAAAAACGCGGTCTTATTATTTTATTAAAAATACTTACATCTGTATGAACTTGAAGAGGCGCGTCTCATCAACAAGTAGATCCAAAGTCTTCACGTCTACATACATCTTCTCTGCTTGGCACAACTTGCAAGGTAAACCTGGAATTGTCAACAAAATAAATATAATTAACTATTTATTCGTGGTTTATCTATTTAACGTTCCTTCACCGTTCGAGCGAATGTTATATGCGCACATAGAAAGAAATTACATTGGTCGCACAGCCGGGAATCGAACCTACGACCTTAGGGAGGCCAACAATGCTCTCAATAGTATAATTAGTATGCTCAAACTCATAGAGGTTTTCGGCATCCAGCATCTGGTTTAAATTCTGGTACAGCGTTGGTACTCTGTAATTCCTAACAGTGATAGCGAACGCGATTCTAAGGTTACAACAACAGCGCTACTGATATTGAGAGAAGTACATTGGGATTTCATACAATGCCGTTAGGGTAGCTCTTGCTGCTTTTGAAGATGACCTACGTACAGCAATTGTAGTGCAAATATAAAACTAAACAATTAGATTAATAGACAAGACCCTCATTAATCATATTTTTTTCGGATATCCAACGCCACCACCTCTGCTCCACAGCATAATAGTGAGACAGGGCCATTTACAACCACATTACAGACTTTAAATGTACCTTATTCCTTTTTTTTCATAACTTTTGGTATTTTTCTTATTTGATTATGATAATCATATGTGTATATGTGTGTGTTTCGTTTGTAATAAATGTTATTAATATGTCTAAATCTAAATTTAAGTCGGCAATTGGCAAACTGCATCCCAGATTATTAAATGGCTCCATAAAAAATATCTTTGGAGTCCCACTATTTTAGTACTGTAGGTATATGTTTTGGTTACATGGTTTGATATATTTTTTTTTTTATCTCCAACAATCTTTTCCGCTTTGTCGTTCTAAACAAGATCGATCCTATAACATTCCTAACAAGGTATGAAAAAGCTATTATCTAAAAAAATATGTGATCAGGATAATTAATATAAAAATAATGTCGTGACATCACAATGTACGTATGTAATGGCTCAAACACAACGATTTCCTGTTAGAATAAATTCGGTTATTTAGACAAGTACACATGTACCTAGTAAGCAATATTATTTAAACTTCATTGCAAAGGTACTAACGTAAGTAATTACGATAAAGATATTATTATAATTACGATATTTTCTCTTACAGTGTAAGTGTACAGTGATTGATTCGGCGATAAAACGACACCATTTTCTTTTCTACATTTTCATATACAATCGCAGTTATAAGCAATATGCAGACTTTATAGTGCATATTAATTTTAACTTTTTAGCCTGACTAGTTAGTGCCAATAAATAATTAATAGCCAATAAAAATAAACAATATCAAACTTACATATTAATATAAATGTGATTAAATTCTTATAAATATGACTAAAATTGCCCCTTGCTCCGCGTGAAGTCATCGTCACTTTGTCTAGCATTTTTCCGGATTCTGATCTGAAACAAAATAAAACATAAATCGTAAATTTAAAAAAAAATATTGATTGACAATTTACACAGCATTATATATTTTAAAGGATTGATTAGCTGAAATACAGGGGAATCCTCGCATACACATAAAGTTTTGTCCCTAACATAATTAAAAAAAATTAAAGAACGTAAAAAAACCTTGACCTTGGCAGATATATGTATCTCTTTCCTTATAAACGATTTTCATTAGAGGAGTGGGCGATCAGCTTTTTGCGACACACATGTACGATCTTTGATATGTTTCCTCACAATGTTTTTCTTCTTGCATGAGGAAAATCTATTAGGGCCATGATGAAAACCCACTACCTAAGTTGAGAATCGCGCCTCGCCGTAGCTTACTCAATCTTTTATAAGTTAAATCGCCAGTATTATCTCATCTAAGTATGGGGATGTGCTTTGAAAACAAAAATAAACAATCTTTAAAGCCTTTTAATATCATTATTTAACAGTAACTAAAAAAGGTTGATGACTAAATGTATGAGCATAAAAACTAAACACTATGAAACAACATATCCATACGAATGTCAGTTATCAAAAACAGGTAACCGAACGTCAAACGCGCTCGCGTTATCTACTTAGTTAAATTAATTACTAAGCTATTTTATGTAGTTTTTAAACTTCGATTTGAAACGACATTCCGTCATTTTTTATCGCGTAAGTGACACACTTGTTTTTTGATATTAGAAAAGTAAATTGATTTTAAATTTTAATAGATCATTTGAAATATATTGTCATAATTCCAGTAGCTCGATTTAGGACACGCACCACCACTGTGGAATCAGCTGCTAGGGCCCGTTCAAGTATTACGTAAGCACTATAGGGTGGTTCTTTGTTTTTCTTATTTGGTGATTACGTCAACAGTAATTATTTACTTTTTTACACATTGTCTATGCTTGAAAACGAAATGCATTTTCGAGGATTCCTACAAAAAATTAATACGTTTATGTACTATTATTTTTGAGAGCTTTGCTTACTTTTGCTCACAAGGGAAAGGAACCAATTCGACCTAAGGTCCTTCAAAAAAAGAGCGAACCTATTTAAAAAGCCGACAACAGACTTGCAAGCAGGAATTGAGTGTGTGGCCTTTGGCTTAAGTCCTTCTTGGTCACGGGCAAAACACTTATTATTACAGTAAATGGAAGCTTTGATTTCAAACACATTAACTCGTTCATCAGACCTTGACTTAACAGTACCTGTCTGGTCCAAGTGTGAATAATATAGTTAGTACTAATACAATTTTTTTTTGTAACAGGAGGCAAACGGGCATGAGGCTCACCTGGTGTTAAGTGATACCGCGGCCCATGGACATTTACATTGCCAGGAGGCTTGTATGTGCGTTGCCGGTCTTTTAAGAAATGGTACGCTTTTTCTTGAAGCACCCTAAGTCGAATTAGTTCGGAAATACTTCAGTGGGCAGCTGGTTCCACATAGTGGTGGTGCGCGGCTAAAATTGCCTTAAGAAACGCTCAGTTGTGGAACGACGGACGTCGAGGTGACGAAGGTATTTTGTATTCTGCCTTGACGTCCAATGATGACACTCAGCTGCAGGTATTAGTCCGAATAAATTTTTCTTGGTCTGTCTAAAATAATTTTCCGTAACAAAGGTCACATTAACATTTTATATATCTATTGTATTAGTAAATTAATTTATAATAATAATAATAATAATAAAGCCATTTATTCCAAAACTTGCTTATGTTTTACAATGTTGTTAGTACTACTTAATTGCTTAAATTTAAAATGGTTACTTATAATTACCGTTAGTATTATTATTTATGTACAAGGTTTGGATCCCTGTTGGGTAAAGGCCTCCTCCATCCTTTTCCATGACTCCCTGTCTCTGCCTATTTGTATCCAGTCGTTTCCTGCGACGTGTGTTATATCATCAGCCCACCGTCTTAATTGTCGACCAACATTTCTCTTCCCCATGGGTCCTTTCCATCGTGTGGTTTCAATGGTCCATCTTCTGTCTCGGAATCGTGAGATGTGTCCAGCCCATCTCCATTTGAGTAAGAGTGCGTGCCTGAGAGCATCAGTTAATTTGGTTTTTTGACGAATTTCTTCGCTCCTAATTTTGTGTATTTTCCTAATTTTCAGCATACTCCTTTCCATTGCTGTTTGGTTACTTTTAATTTTTTGTTTTATTTTATTTGTAAAGGTCCAAGTTTGGCAGCCATACAGCAAGCAAGGTAACAGGCATGTATCAAATATTGTCCTTTTCATGTGTGAGCTGTAATTGCCTTTTAAGATTTCTTTTAGTGCCCAGAATTTCTTCCAAGTTGTGTTGATTCTCCTTGTCACTTCTTCTTCGTTATTTGAAGTTTTGAAGGAAATTTGTTTGCCCAAGTATATGTATTGCCTGACGTATTCTATATTATTACCTTTTATCACTATCTGGCGCTCCCGATTGTTCGTTAGTATCTTCGTTTTATTTACATTCATTTCAAGGCCGATTTTGGAACTTTCGCAGTCCAGTGATCTCATCATTTCGTCTAAGTCTTTTGCAGTCTCAGCAATAACAGCAATATCATCTGCGAACCTCAGATTGTTTAAGTATTGTCCGTTTATGTACACTCCGCTGTTCTTCCAGTCTAGTTTTTGGAAGATAGTTTCAAGGACTGCTATAAACAGCTTCGGGGAAAGAGGATCACCTTGTCTAACTCCGCGTTCTATGTTTATTTCGTCGCCTCTAGTTTCTAATTTAACTCTGCTCGTGCTTTTTGTATAGATATATTTCAAAACATTGATGTATTTCTGGTTGATATTTGAATATTGTAAAGCGTTCCAGATTGCACAGTGACTAATGCTATCAAAAGCTTTGCTATAGTCAATGAACGCCACATACAGAGGTCTATTGTATTCTCTGTATTTTTCTATGACTTGCTCTAATGTCTGTATGTGGTCCATTGTGCTGAAGCTTGATCTGAATCCTGCCTGTTCTTTTGGTTGCTGCTTATCAATATCGTCAGATATTCTCTTTAAGATTATGGATGAAAATAGTTTATAAATACTTGCCAGCAGACTTATGGGCCTGTAATTCCCTATATCTAAGGGATTTCCTTTCTTGAAGAGAAGGATTATATCCGATGTACACCACTGTTTTGGTACCTTTTCTTCATCTAGTATCTTATTGAACAATCGCGTAAAATGATATGTTAAAATGGGTGCTCCTATTTTAAGTGCCTCATTGCATATTCCGTCTGGTCCGGGACTCTTCTCGGCTTTCAGCTTTTTCATATGATCATAAACTTCGGAGTATTCAATTTGTCTGATGTGATCTGTCGTGTTCGTATGGGTTGTTTGCGATATGATTTCGGGGTTATTTTGTTTACTATATAAGTTTTTGTAGAAGTTAGTAGCGTGATTTATTACATCTTGTCTGGATTTTGTTTTTAGTGAGTTATTTTCAAGTTTTCGAATCCAGGACTTGTGTGTAGTTAATTCTTTGTATGCTTTTTTGGCACTTCTAAAATGTTTAATGTTCCTTGTAATAATCTCGTATCTGTGGTTGTTGTAGTCCTTACGGATTGATCTATTAGTCTCTTTGTATATTCTGCTTAGTTCTGTTTTCATATCTTTAGTTTTGTTCTTTGTGTGTAGTAGTTCCGTGCGCCTTTTTAAAAGTTCCATTGTGTCTTTTGAGAAGATATTGTGTTGGTGGGGATACATATTGGTTTTGTATTTTAAGCTCTCTGTTATGCCTTTTTCCAGGATATTGTAGTATGTTTGAATATCAATGCTGTCTGTTTTTATATTTTCTGTATGTTTTTGTAGATTTCCGATGTAGCACTTTATTTCTGTTTCTGTCTTGGGGATATTAGCTGGTGTTGTATAGGTTTTTCTGCTCTTTACTGGACTACTCAAAAGTAATGTTGCTCTCACTAATCTATGATCGGAAGAGAATTCAACTTTGTTAAGTACCTCAATATTAGTTATAAGTTTGTTGTGGGTTATCATAATAAAATCTATTTCATTTTTAGTTTTGTGGTCGGGTGATAACCATGTCCATCTAGAGCTTGCTTTCTTTTTGAAAAATGAGTTCATTATGGATAGTTTGTATTGATGAGCATAAATTAAGAGCCGTTCCCCTCTATCATTCCGCACTCCGTAACCATATTTTCCCATTACTGGATAGTAGTTTGTTTTTGGACATCCTATTTTCGCGTTGAAATCTCCCATGACAATGACCTTCCCTTCTGTCTTTGTGTGAGCAAATTCAATGTCTTTGTAAAAATTTTCAATTTCTTCTTCTGTTGATCTCTCTGTCGGTGCATATGCTTGGATTATTGAAAAAGAGAAGCAATCAAACTTCATTTGTAGAAGTGCTACTCTTTCAGAGATTCCTATAAAGTTGATGATGTTATTTTTATACATTTTCTTGATAAGGAATCCCACTCCATATAGTCCTTTAGTTTCGCCAATATAGCAAAATATAAGGTCGCTGTGCTCTTCTATCTTACATCCCATTTTTCGGACTTCTGCAAGGCCTATAATGTCCCAGTTAATATTTTTTAGAGCATTAGTCAATTCAAGGAATCGTTCTATTGATCCTAGCGATTTTACATTATAATTGCAGATTTTGAGTGTTCGTTTCATACCATGATCTATTTCTCTATTTGGTGGAGGGTTGTAGTCTGATTCCCCACGATGACAAGTCGGATTGGGGAATGTTTTGTTTCTTTTATCTATTAGTTCTCGTCTGTTTAATGTTTTGTTCCGGTGGCTGATGGCAATATCCTATAGATTCTGAACGGTTGGCACATTGGCAGAAGGTAAGGAATTACTTCTATTCCTCATTATGTCGAATGCATTTAACCGAGCTGCTTTTGTTGACAGTTGTTGTTTGTGAGGGTGCTCTATTGCGTTAGGCGAGGTTGATGTTTCCCTTTTGCGTTTTTCGTTACCTGGTTTGCCCTGTTTAATAATTAGCTTGTCGTAGTTTATGTATGCA